TAAGAGCATCACATTCGATGAGAATAAGGGAGTTTGGCAAGTTGCGCATTTTGGTTGAGTTTCTTGTTTATGTATAAATGAGCGCGTAAGTTTTGATGTGACCAATACGTAGTCATGATATTGTAACCTGTTCCCGTCTAGTTTTCTAAAGCCTGGTTTCCACTCTTGAAGAGAGGGTTTGACAGAAATAAAAGTTTATCGATGTTTTTATTCCAGCGAATCTGTCATCCTGTATAGAGGAATCTGTTGATTTGAGATTTCAGATCGGTGATAGGAATCTCGAACATGTCGGACTTTAAATCTAGAGTCAGTTTGGCGGATGAGTCTGCTCTTTCGTTATATGGCTCGGGATCCCGCATAATGTAGAACATGAGGTGAGTTTTAAGTAATATTTTAAAAGTGTCGTTTAGAAGCTAAATCCTATACGGCAAAACATAACGGCGAGCTGTAATATCAACGTGTATTGATATATAATTATAATAATAATCATTATTGTTATTTGAAAAATATGAATGTTACCTAAGGTCGCTTCTTCATCTGAGAGCAAATTGAGCAACATTCCTTACCATATTGCGTAACAGTTTAAAACTAGTCCTTTTTGATTTTAACGAATTTTTTCTTTTTCTTAATTCTTTGCTTAGGCTTTGGAAGGCATCTTCATCTATTTCACTTCACCTTTGGATTTTAGTATCACTTTTGTCATCTGCTGTTAAAACACTTCTTATTGCTGATAAAGATTTATGTATAATAATCAGAAACGTAGTTGATTTGGGGTCGTAAACCTGTTAATTTCTCGACCTTCTCAAAATCAAATCTTGAGTACCAAATGACCCTCTTAACCCTTTGATGGTGCTGCAATAATAATCTCTCTCGAAATAAAATACCAGAAGAATCTGCAGTGTTACTGGTCTTAACCTGGCATCTCGGCATCAGTTGCTTTTCCACCGTTGTCATCTAGCTTCCCTGTGCTTTTGTTTTATATAAATATTTTCATTGTAATTGTTCTGATGACCTTTCCTCTTTGGTGTTTAGATTTTATGAATTGGTGCGCAGTGCTAGATTGGCAGTTAGGTCTCATCTTTTTACTGTTGAAATGTCTATATGTTGCCGTAACGTCTGTGATAACAGCTTCTTTTCTCGTACTTCTTCTCGCTCGTGAAGCTCTTATCCATCTTCTTGCTTTCCAGTCAAGGTTTATCCGCAAAAATTTACATGCAATGTCAATCGTTATCTACTGTCTTTTTGATTCTTGTTCTTTTATTGTTCCCACTTCTTCAGGGCCAACGCCAGGGTGAAATGGGAAGGGCAGCGCTTTTGTCAATTACCAAAAATCAGGAAATAACCTCGATAGGTTAAATGATAATTTTATTACGTATTCATTAATTATTCCCTTTTATAATGACTAGTTTTTTTTTATTTTAAAATAATTTGAGAAATTGTTATTCTTTTTGTAATAACCACCAATATTTTCATGACTAAATTTTATCCGAAAAAAAAAAAAAAACGTTTAAGTCACAAAATTTTACATTTCTATAAAGATTAATCGCTGACGGATTTCTGCCGAAAAAAAGTTTTACAATGATTCCAACACAACACAAACGGGATTGTCAAAAGAAATTATTTTAAAAACAGTATTTCAGTTTTTGGGAAAATTTTTCATGTGTTGAAATCTTTAAACATTTTTATATTTTAAGCGATGATTTTCTCGGTTTTATCTTTCTAGGACTGTAAAAAATAGGGACTAAAAATTTTATTTTAATTACTAACTATGGTCTTCTGGATAGTATTACTATTAGTAAAAAAATCAGAGATCCTCCTTAGTGGATGATCTAGGATTAAAAAAAAAATGATTTTACCAAGATGTATTATCCTCTTAATTCATTGATTAGAACAATTCAGAAAGAAAATTGCAATTTAAAAAATAAGCGCTACTGAAATTAGCACTTCTGCACTCCCCCATCCAGTAGGCATGGGGCCCCCACACGGTTCAGACATTTGGGGTAGTAAGCACCGATCCTATCGATTATTATAGTTGATGATAGATAACTCAGTCAGTTATGTGTCATGCGTGATAGACGCTTAGGCGATTAAGTATGTTTCGATATATGACTGAGGAGGCAGATTTTTTTCCCGCAGTAGGTTGTCATTTCTTTCTGTGATAGACCAGCTGCCATCCAGTTGCTATAGAACCCGGCCTGTCCTGCTATTTACCCGTAGCTGAGTCCGGAGGATACATACCTTTCACACGTGAATGCAATGGATTTGACTGGAATTCGAACTCAGCTCTACGATTCCCCAATCCGAGCCGCTATCCACCGTACCCCCTACCATTTTGGTCCCACAGCCTGGTCGGGAGTTTCTGCGTAGTACGCAGATACACGATGTACATTATTAGCTGATGACTGGCAATGCAACAATGGTCATAAAACTGTGCTGAAAAAATGGCTGAGGCCACAACGGTGTTACAGTTTTTTGTGTATATATATATGAGTAACTAGTGAGTTAGTGAAAATGACTTAATTCCCTTTATAGTCTACCAATAGAAGGTTGACCAATCAGAAGCCGCAGAACATTGTATCCGTCGTGTATAAAGGCGGCCATCTTTGTTTACTCTACCGGAATGACCAGTGCCAACTTGTCAGGCGAACACGACAGAAGGAAGAACTACGCTCTGCTACTTTGCTGCGATATCCACTGCCAACCTGAACTACGCTTTCCTACTGTCTCCGAAATATTCACTGCCAACCTCTGGATTCTATACTCGAAGTCGACCGCCATGAAAATGTCTAACGGGACTTCAAAAGACGCGGCCCCTCGGTCGGTGGTAAGACTCGCCAGACCTGCAATTTTTAATAATGTTTCTACTCTTCTTATATTCTTCCTCACTCTGTAAGGCTCTTTATCTTAGTGACTCGTCATTTTACAGTGTAAATGTTTCGATGTAACCTTAAGTTTTATGCAAACTGCTTCTTCTTTCACATTTCCCATTTGTGGGTTTCTCTTCTTAATGTCTCTACTTTTATTGCTCTGTCTCCTTAATATTGTTTTATTTTTTCTAATATTCACTCAAGCTCAGTAACCACTGGCGTCATATAGGATTTGTTGATTTGCTTATTGAAAAAAAATTGTCAGACGATCATGGAAGATTCCTTTTGCCTTGACGTGGAACCAGTGCATAAAAAGTTGCAACCATTTCAAGAGACAGTAATGATTACAAATGGGACTATCCTGATCTAGAATAATGTAAGATCTCATATTTCACGCGACTAATAATAATAAATGACTCTGCTTGTCATCGATTTCCTGCTCAACCCTATCTTTCCGTTACAGATGACTACTTTCTCTAGGTTTAAGATGTTCACTAATACGGACCAAGTGAAAAAAAATACATCCTGTCAGTTTGTCAATTCCACTGACCACTGTCTATTTATCGTGATGCAATAAATTCATGGCGCGTTCGTTGCGTCTGTTCTCATGTTTACTTTGATGATGGCGTTGAACGGTCTGCGGTTCAAAGAAGCCATTTGTTTATTTAGTGCGTCAAAAACATAAATACTCCTTTTAATGAGGATATTAAAGACACCAATAACAATAATAAAAAAGACAATATATCTCATTATTTTTGCTATGATTCAAGGTGCACCAATAATAAATGTGATATTCGGAATTTATTATTATTATTATTATTATTATTATTATTTCTGGTGTGTACTCATTTATTTCGGGGTCCCAACCAGAGACCTAAGGTCAGAAATTGCAGCATGTTATTTTCCACCAAGCTATTTTAAAAAAGACACATATTTTACATAGATAAAGCCCTTCATAAAGTTTTGTCTGTACTCGTGAAAACATTTTTTGTATTTCTTTAAGTCATGGGCTACCAGGAATCTCTTCAATGAGTTTATGGGAATCTTTTCTAAACAAACCGAGGGTTCCTGCTACAACAAGGATTGTTGATGTTCCCATGATCCACATTTTTGAGATTTCGATTTCAAGGTCCTTGGATTTTGTTAGGATTTTGAAGATCTTCTAAGATACATTGCTGTCTGCACGGACTGTCATATCAATGAAAGAGGCAATTTTTTTGTTTGCCGTCTCTAATAACAATGTATGGGTGGTTAGCTTTGATTGTTTTGTCTGTGTGTATTGTTTAGGTCGATAAAATTGTTAGACGTCCTATTTCCGCAAACGTGTTATTATTATTATTATTATTATTATTATTTTCTTTGATTTCTGGTGTATACTCATTTTTTCCGGGTCCCAACCAGAGACCTAAGGTCAGAAATGGTATCATGACATTTTCCACTGAGCAGTTTTTGAGGAAAAAAAGGAAAAAAAAAACCAAGTACCTAAGATCACACAAATTTTACACAGATAAAACCTTTCGTAAATTTCGCGCTGTAATTGTGAGTACAATTTTTATATTTCTTTAAGTCATGGACACCCAGGAATCCTTTCAATGAGACTATTAGAATCATTTCCAATAAATCAGTGGGCTCCAACTAAAACAGGAATTGTTAATATTCTCATGTGCCATATTTTTGAGATTTTGATTTCAAGGTCCTTGTACAGGGTGGGGCAGAGCAACTTGCTTATTTGGAATATCAATTAAAACACAAGTAATGCAGGTATACATGTAATTCTTTGAACTGCAACTAGTTCAACATTTCAATTTTATTTTTTAGCAGTTTTAAAGATGATATCAGTAAGATGGCGTCCATTCTTCTCTATACACTGAGTCAATGTTTTGGGGTGACCTTGCTGTTCGTGGGAGGCCAGGTTTCTTTTTCTTTACATCACCCGTTTCCCTGAAGTTGTTTACCCATGAAACAATCGACTGCCGGCCAGGAACACGACCACGGGGGGTAATATTGAAATGTCTACGGAATGCACGTTGCGTTGCGACGATTGAGCGACCGCTTGAAAAAAATGCCTCAACAGCGAAAGCGCGTTCCAACTTCGTCCACTCCATGATGCTCACTGGGGTTCCTGAAAAATAAACAAAAAATAAATAACGCACGTTAAGAACCAAACTTTAGGCCCCACCCTCTCAAATAAGTCCATCCCTACCATCCTTGGAGCAACCATCGCTTTAGGGCGCCAAGTTTGAATAAGCAAGTTGCTCTGCCCCACCCTGTATTTTGATAGATTTTTGAAGGTATAAGCATTGGTCCTATGCAGCAAGAATAAAAACTTCGGTTTCAGCTTTTAACCATGTCCTACGTAGCGACTCATGTGTATGGGGTTTGTCTACATCAGCTTGTTAGATACAAGCAGATTATTCACCGTCCATTTGCTTAATGTCGGCTATGGTCCAGATAATGATGTTGAAACTATATTGCACCACGGGGACAGCCAAGCTGTTTATTGCGGATATTCTGTTTTTAATTCAACTCGGTATACAATACCAGACGCACACACCTGTAGTATTCTTTTCTTATTTCCTTCTTCATGTAAGTAGGCCGTATTCTATCTCCTTCGCTAATTCTTTGGTACTTGTATACACGTTCCAGTTTCCTAATATCTGTGACAAAAATCTAGATCTGATGTGTGTTTTTCTCCCTTGACTGTTACATTGCAGATTTATCTAATCCGAAATCCATTCCAATGTCGCCAAGGTAATATTTTACAGTACTGAGGAGACCCTTCAACTCTTTATAGTCTTTGGCAAAGAGTTTGAGATCATTCATGTAGAGAGTAGATGATTGAATATTTTCTTGTTCATTTTTATCCATAGCTATCATTGCTTAGTTCATACATAAGAGGGATTAAGGACAGACAAAAAAGAAGGCTTGAAAGGGAGTCTCTGTTACGGTTTTTTGGGTATATATGGATATATAACTAGTGAGCGAGTCAAAATGACTTATTTCCCTTTATAGTCTACCAATAGAAGGTTGACCAATCAGAAGCCGCACAACACTGTATCCGTCGTGGATAAAGACGGCCATCTTTGTTTTCCTACCAACCTGACCAGAGGCAACTTGTCCGGCGAACAGGACAGACGGAAGAACTACGCTCTGCTACTTTGCTGCGATATCCACTGCGAACCTGCACTACACTTTCCTACTGTCTCCGAAATATTCACTGCCAACCTCTGGATTCTATACTCGAGGACGACCGTCATGAAAATGTCTAACAGTGACCTTGAAAGATTCCTTGTTGGGTATTCAGGCGGTTGGAAGTGGTGTGATTTAGGTATAGTGTCGTTTTCCACATTCCCATGCTGTGTTTTAGGAGATTTACTATCAACGACGAGAGTTAAATAATGTGCCACACACCTGGTTCCTTAAGGCGTTGGAAATGTACAATGGTTTTACGGTAATCTATCCTCGCTGTACTAAGATTTCTACCTCTTTTCTTGCAATTTTTGAGGATCATTTTTTTTATCAGTAGCAACCAAATCAAATTTATCTTTGCAACCAAATAAAATTCTCCGACATCTCCTCTGTTCCAACGGAAGAATGTTGTTTTCATCGAGAAAAGTGTAAGTAGAATTCGTCAGGACAGATGTGATCAATTTATATAGTGAACACATGCTAATTATTATTATTATTATTATTATTATTATTGCATAGGCTCTCTAACACTTTGATGCTTCATATCACAGCTCCTGAGTCAATACTTTCCTTAGAAAGTGCACACAAACAATGTAGATTCATTGACAAAGGAGGACAAATTTTCGAACACTGCCAGGAAACACATTTTCTTTATTACTTTTTCTCGAATTTATAAAAGATGGATCGTCTATTTCAAAGACGGGTATCTGTTAAAATAACGTTTGAAGTAATTCACACACACATACATATATAAAGCTCATATCAATCCAACTAAATTTGGTAGCTCTATCACTGATATTGAGCGCTTTGCAATAAGTACCGCGCATATATAATATATAAATAATATATATATATGTAAATAATATATATATATATATATATATATATATATACACGGATTTTACACACACACACACACACACATATATATATATGTTTGTGTATGTGTATTTAAAAAAAATTAATTTTCACACAGACTGGGTTGTACATTAATATTTTTGTTTTATTATTTCAGAAACTAGTCGAGGTATCTAATTGGCCATCATCAGGAGAAAAAAATCCCTGCTTGTTAGTAGCAGTGAACTACAGGAGCAAATGACTGTTTCTGAAGAAAGTGAACTTTATCTGTAGTTTTCATTTGTTTTTTTATCGTTAATTTTGGTCAGTCCTTGTGTTGGTCAAGCGGCCTCTTTCAAGCAGTTTTTAAAATAGAGGATGGGAAATTCCTGACTTTAAGAATTCTCTCCTTGGTCATTTTGAAAGTTGTATTGGTTGCTGGAAATGGGATGTGTGTATTAAGTATTGTTCCACCGGTAATAATCTTTCGTCGAGAGCCGACTTGATCCGATTCAGATAATTATCAATTCAGTGGTGAAAGTGCCATTCAGATACTCCCACGTATTGTTTCTGGCATATATATATATATATATATATATATATATATATATATATATATATATATATATATATATATGTATACACATACATTTTATTTTTTTATTATTTAAAATAAGATAAATTATTATACATGGTTAAAAAAAAAGTGTGACAGGATTTTTATTAGAAATTTGATTATGACAAAAAAGTAAAAATTGATTTTATGAATTTGCTCTCGTCAAAATATCCTCCTTTAGGCTTAATCACTGCAGCACAATTTTTTGGCATTCGTTGTGAAAGATTTTCAAAGTATTTGTTTGATAATTGATTCTATTCTTTCTTTAATGATTCTAAAAGCTCTTTTCATTTTTTTTTTTTCACTGTACTGTCAAGTTCATCCTATGCTAATTCTGGGTCTTGCATCAAACTTTTAAATTGTAGTATATATATATATATATATATATATATATATATATATATATATATATATATATGAGAGAGAAAAGAACAAACGGAGTAAAAATCCAGTTTGTTATATTTTTCAGTTCAATTATCTTTTAGGGAAATTTAGAAACAAAACTTTATCTCTTTTCCGAAAGTTAAAGGGGGGGATGGTATAAGGTTAGAATTAAACTTTAACTGTTGGAAAGAGGTAACAGTTTGTTTTTAAATTACCCCCCCTCACCAAATTTTTAACATCAGTTAATAACAATCACCTGGGGAATTACAATCATAGTATTGAAACATGAAACTTTTGTGTAGCGATGTAATTTTTTCATATCATAATCTCGTATAATATATATATATATATATATATATATATATATATATATATATATATATATATACGTTAGGTCAAAATTTAGTGGGTAACCACTGTAGTTGGAGGATCGCCTAAAAATTGAAGGTACGTGCATTTTCAAAAAGTACCTCATTAGCTCATTTCAGGTTATAGTGACTTTCTCTACCTGAATAATTTTATCATAAATTCAATAATAATAATAATAATAATAATAATACAGAAATCTTCCTATCACTGCATAAGTTCCATTAAAATCATTTTCCCTGCTCAACGTTGCTGGCTAATGTTAACCTCAAGGTTGGTGAATTTAGAATTTTCAGTAAACTGTGCCCTAAAAAGAATCCCCCGTCATGCACTAATGGGTTAAATACTTTCAGCATCTGAGCTAAACAAAGATGAAGCTTTTATATATATATATATATATATATATATATATAATTATTTATTTAAAAATTATAACATAAGGTTATTATTTGAAACCTTTAAAACCATTTATTCTACATTCAACATCATCACTTGATAAGACACCAGCGATGTTGAAACAAAATGGCTACTTTTGAAGTGATTTTATAACAAATATATGTTATAATTTTTAAATAAATAATTATATCTGGTCTACTATGTATTGAGCACTCTTTTAAGAATAGTAATTGTTGGTTATTGGAATTTATTCCGTATACACCAATCCTATACTTATATATATATATATATATATATATATATATATATATACGCATATACATACGTAATCAAGTGTTAAAAATCAAATACAGATGAAATATGCATCGAAATCTGACATATATATATATATATATATATATATATATATATATATACGTGTATTTCGGCAGTATATTTTCATTAAGGCAGGTGTTTCATTAAATAATTTAAACATGTTCTGTCTACTTATTCTCAATAGGATTCGTTTCACACTCAAGGGTGAGATTTGTTGTGTGCTTATAGAAATACGAGAGAAAATAACCGTGTTGGTTCATACTGTATTTATTTCCTAGTTCTTTCGACATAGCATAATGTCATCACCAGTGTATTGTTAATTATAGGATAATAATCCAGTGTTCTTGGTTGTTGAAGACAAAATTTGTTATATCATGCTGCGGCTAGCAAGCACTGATTAAGAGGAGATAACTAGGTATTGTTATGGCAGATTTTCCGACGTGCGTAGTCGAAAAATACAGGAAAGATCTATTAGTACAAACACTAACATTTAACGACTATATATTTACACATTTTAAAAGTTAATTTTATTAATGTTTGTTTTTCAATTTTATGATATAAATAGCTTCAAGGATTTTCTGTTTGTGTTTATACTTTTCTTGGAAAAGTATGGAGGTGTTTTCAACTAGGATTTTCCTGAATTGCGAATGTGGACAGGTAAGATGTAAATGTTTAGAAATGTGGGAGGTGTTATTCAAATGAAAACTTAGCCTACGTGAATGTGTTGTTGTTGTGTGTCCAACGTAGATGTTATTTTTATCGTTGGAGATACAATCTCGCAGAGAATACCTACCTTTAATACTTTGATTGTAACATCATGTAGAAAGTACTCGGAAATAAATACAATATGAACCAACACGACGTTTCCCTCTCGTCTTTTAATAACCACACAAAAACTCATCCGTGAGTATGAAAGGATCCTATCGAGAATAAGTAGACAGAATAAGTCTAAATTATTCAAGGAAACCTGCCTTAATATATATATATATATATATATATATATATATATATATATTCATTGATGACGACG